AAACTAATTTTTTAAATTAAGTATTAATATGTTTATTAATTAATAAACAAATAAATTTAAATAAAATTATAAGATTTAACAATTATAATATTTGCTATTACATAAGTTTTAGTTAATTTTTTCAAAAAGAATTATAAAAAGAAATTAAGCAAAATGGTTCCCGCCACTGCCAAAGACAATTCAGAGAGAGGAGAAAATAGTTGACCCCCCCCCCCTGAATCACCTTGGCAGCAGCGAGATCTTTGAGTGCGAACGGGTTTGATAGGATGTCCGACCCCCCACCCTACCCGACTTGCATTGCACGTTCTCCTAGAATGAAATGTGCCCCATCTCACAGATACCCGAAGAAAACGCGCAAATTAAACCGGGCTTGGATGGGAATCGAATTCTTATACCTTAACTGAATTTATGAAGTTTCCTACCAAACACGCTTGCACCCAAGATGACGTCATTAGCCGATATTCACGCTTATAAGTCGATTCGTAACTTTTGTTATCATCGAAAAACTATTATCAACTCAATAATTTCTTATTTAACATAACCTATTTGATTTTTTGTTTGATTGAGGAATATTTTCTGAAATTTGTATTTAATACTCGAGTGCCATTATAATACACTATTTTACATGTTATAATCTACATATTAAAAGAGTTTTGGTGATTATTTTTAATTAATAATTAAAAATGTATAATCATTTTAGTTCACATGAATGAGATATTAATATTTGATTGTAAAACTTGAAAAAATGTTATAAAAGTAAATACCTATTATTATTTTGAACAGAAATATTTATATTTATTTTCTAAATTTAACGAGTTAATCATTTATTATCATTGTCAGGTAACAGAACACTTTGTAATAGTGTCAATACGATGGCATCCCGTAAGACAAGAATGTAGAAGCTTGAAGCGCACAAAATCCATTGCAAATCTGGAATATTGATTAATTCCAGATTTGCAGCACACAATAAAAAAATATGCGCATTTGGCTTAAACATACACATAATAGTAAGTTTTTAAATATCCTATTTAATTAAGATGAATCTAAATAATGGTTTTACCTATTTGTTTCAGGTGAAATTGGCTATATTAGAAAATACTTTCTATTAGGAAAAATGTTAACAATGCCATTTAATATCAAACCACTGGTATGACTTAGGAGCTAAAACAATGCAAAATATGATGTTTTTGGTAAAATATTTTCTTAATAATACTTCTTTTAGAAGTACAAAGTATCTTTTAAACATACATTTGTCTGTACATTTTTTTTTGTTAAATAGAAAATGGTATTTTTTAATCATTTATTTTTAAAACTTTTTACGGCAAGTTAACTAGCCGTCTTACTTGTTAATGTTTCAGATATTACTTTTATTTTATAACAATTTTCAACATTATAATTTCTGTTCAAATGTATTGTGTATACAATTTAAATTAAATTTATATTTTACCTATTATATTAATCATACTGAATTTTTAAAATAATAACCTGTAGATATTAAGTAATATTTTTTTTAGAATTTAAAGGAATATATTGTAGGTGTTCAGTTACAAATAAAATATGAACGCGATAAATTAAATTTATGAAATTCATTATAACAATAGTACAGTTGTATTTAAATTTAAATTTTATATGTATTATGTATATTAAAATCTGAATGGTATCTTTTTTGTAAATTTAAGACTTCCCCATTTCTTTGATTTACAAATAAAATATTAATTCAGTATACTGCTAAGTACATTATAAACACTAACCAATAATTGGTTTTATTTTTTACAATTTATTAAAAAAGTGATCGTAAGCAAGCCTTCATAACATATTGTTTACTTTATTAGCTAATAATGAGGTGGACTATGCTACCTTTTTTTTAATATATATTAAGATATACAGATTTGAGTATAATTTTAAACTAACATGTAACAATTTATATATAGCTGTGTTTTGTAAATTGAACAAACCCCATCACTTCAACTTACAAAATATACATTTGGCGCCATAGTTGAAATTGTTACATTTTATTTTATCTTTAAAAAAAAAATGTCTATAGTTGTGAAGAAAAAGCTGTAAATTATATAATTAAATAATTATACTAGTTTATATAAAGTAATGAGTTTGTAAAATAATTTATTATTGTATTAAACTTGTGATGTTTGTATTACAAACTTTGAAAATTATGTATTGTTTGTAGCAGTAAAAATATATTTATTAAGAATAGATATTCATTATTGTTTTTATTCTTTGATTATATTTAAAATTAATAATTACCGCATAAAGTATTATCATATCTTGTGGAGTACCAATTGTTCTGTATGTAGTGCAAATTATTTAGTTTTAAAAAACAATTAACAAACAAAATTATATAGCACTATCTTTTAGATAATGCAACAGCTGACATTAGGATTTGGTAAAAAATGAAATTATTATCTTTACATTTTATATTATATAATAATAATTAGGATCAAATACTTTTTAAACTTTATGTTATTTAAATTATTATTATAATAAAAATAATAATGAAAAAATATTTAAACAGTTATCGTTGACAGTTAATTTTTTTTAGTATGAACATTCTTATTCTCCATTTAAGATAAACTGTATAACTGTACTCTATGAACAAAATTAAACTATTAACACAAACAGTATAATATTATTAATTTAAAATTTTGATCTGAAGTATTTACACTAATAGTAACTAATGTTTGTGTAAACAATAATTTTGCACTTTTGCGGCAACTTATCAAAAGAATATTTAAATTTTAAAATCCACAAAATAGTGCATGTTTTTACACGCAAAATACATTTTAAATTATAACTGACTTAATTGCAAATACTTTGTACACATTAGCTATACTTTGAGTTTTGACATCATTTGATAATTGATTTTAATAATCTAAAATCCGTATTCCGTTTTTATGTAATTGATAACACAATCATAGATTAGACTTGGTTATGCGAGATCGCCGCGCACACGTCAGCTGTTATTATACTAGTCAGTTATCATTTTCATTACACACGGCAGGTAAAAAAAAAAAGCGGTGGCCCTCTGTCGGTTTAAAAACGTTCGTACCTATTTGATAAGTAATAACCATTATTTGAAATAGCATTGTGATAGCAGACAATGGGCCGGACCTGCGCTCGGTCGCCAGTCATTATTATTTATTACCTGTACGAACTCTTATAGGAAAAGTTCCGAACCGACGGTCTTTCGTTGTGAAACTAAAGCATTGAAACGCACAATTAGCGTCTCCAAAAAATAGTGGTTTTTTTAAACAAATTTCCAAATGACAATTAAAGCTATTAATTCAATTTAAGGCCCCCGTCACACTTGCGGAATTTCCGCAGCGGAGATACCGCACGGAAATCCCGCAGAATCGAGGTACGTTTTATCGAATGGGACTGGTTATACTAGGGCGGAATTCCGGCGCGGAAAAAAAAACCGCTGCGTGTCGCGATATTTTTTCTGTAGGTCTAGCGGAATGTCTCCGCAGCGGAACTAAAAATAAATCCAAAACCCTTGTTTTGTATTATCGATTTCACACTTGCCGCGGAAACGCTTAATTTTTACTCGTTTGATCAATATCACTTCAACAATGACCACCATTGATGTCGAGTTGTTAATTTCGGAGGTCGAAGCGAACCCGTGTTTGTGGGATTTGGGTGATCCGTCCTACAAGAACCGGGAGGTTGTAAAACAAAAATGGGAATTAATTGGCTCTAAAATATTCTCTGATTGGGACAAATTAGAAACAGGCGACAAGAAAAAAAAGGTAAGTACCCACACTTATTTTATATTTAATACGTATTTTTATTAAAAGGTATTTAAGCCGACACGGGTTAACCAAACTATATTTTTTATCAGTTTATGATTAATATTGCGAAAAATTGTTTTTAAATTCAATTTGTTTTTTGTTAAGTTTTAAATAAAAAAACGTTTTTTCGGTTGATAAAAATAATAGATATTTTTTGCTGATTTTGAGTATGTTTCGATTACATTAAATACAGTTTTAATCAAATAATAATTCAAATAGGTATAAGTAAAGGAGTATGTACCTACTAATAGTTAATTAATAATTCACTTTGCTTTTTTAATTTGTTAGTATAATACCTACCTATTATTAATTAAATTATAATTTAGGAAATAATAATAGTGATATTAATACTTAATTATTAGTGGGTGTCTTAAATAAGAAATACATAAGAAGTTTTATTTTTTCTATCGTTTAATAGTTATTGTATTAATAATACAATAATAATAATAATAACACATGTGAGCGGGCAATATTGACAGTGTATTTAATTCGCGGGTGCCGCGTTTTATATCGTATATATATATATAGTGTATAGATCATAGAGCAGCCTGACCTCGGCCAAAGGGGTCTGAACATACTGACGGCTCAGTATGCATGCCGCATGCGCGATAGTGGGCAAACTTAAACTGAAAGACTTTAAAATGATAATATAAGTATATTTTAATTTAATTTAATTTACATAAAATCTTTTTAACAAAAAATGACGCGTTTATATAAAGAGATAATTAGTTTTCCAAAAAAACTATTTTACTTTAATAGCGATATTAATAGGTTCCTTTTAACCTCACAGAAAATTTTAATATTTTTAATAAGTGTTATCGCTAATAATGACTTTATTACTTTTTAGGTATTTTTAAATTAAATGCATAATCGTTAAACATAGTTCTTAACATATGTCATATATTTTTTGATGACTTAAATATCAACAAATATCGAAAACATAAAATATAATATTATAAACACAAATAGTTATTCATTTAAAAGTTATAAAATTAAACAAAACATGTTAAAATCAGACCAATTTTTTGACTATAACAAACAGAATTTTATAGAAGAAATTCATTTTTTATAAAAACTGTTAAACAAATATTGTAATAAAAACAATTAGTATTTAATATTAGGAACTATTATAATATTTTATTGATATTTATTAAGTACTTAAAATAAGAAAAAATTAAAACTATGTAGGTACTTTTATAGTCATTTTTATTGTAAAAATTATAATTTTAACGTAGGTATTAAATCCTATCGTTTTGCCATGGAACACTCCCAGCTTCACTTACAAAGTAATTGGCAAACTGATCCCTCACTTGCTTTCCTTCTAAAGAGCGTGATGCAGCTCCACGAGATTCAATAGACAACATGTCGCAGCTTAAACTGTCTTCAAACGCAAATCCATCTCGTCGTCTTATGAAATTATGTAGTACTGCTGCTGCTTGAACAATTATACTTACAAAATCAGGTTCTACCGCGATACAACCATAAAATATTTAAAATTTTTGTAAAGAATTCCAAAGGTGCACTCTACATATCTTCTTGCTCTACTTAGTCTATAATTGAAAATTCGTTTTGAATGATTCAGGTCTCTACTTGAATAAGGTCTTAATAAATTCCTATGTATTCCAAAAGCTTCGTCTCCGATCAAAACATAAGGTAATTCCGGTCCATCAGTATTAGGTAAGCAAGTAGAGTCTGGTAAGGCTAATGAGTTGTCATAAAGTTTTTTACCAAAAGCAGATTGCCTAAAAATATTCGTATCTCCTTCACGTCCATACGACCCCACATCAATAACGGTAAAACAATAATTTGCATCAGCAATTGCCATAAGAACGATTGAAAAGAATTTCTTGTAACAAAAAAAATTAGAGCCACTATGTGGAGGACTAAATATCCGTATATGTTTTCCATCAACTGCACCAATGCAGCTTGGAAAATTAGTTTTTTCATAAAAAACATTTGAAATGTCTTGCCATTTTTGAGCTGTAGGATTAGGCATTTCAATTGGCTGTAGAACATTCCATAATGCATCACAGGTGTTTTTTATTATATTACTTACGGTGGTTCTACCCATTCTGAACTGATGGCTTAAAGCTGTAAACCGCGCTCCAGTTACCAAAAATCTAAAAAAAGATTTGAATTGTTATAATTTACAGCTTTAAGTCAAACTGCATTGAATAGATATGTTTTTATTGCAAAAATATGTTGAAAGCCCTTTTGAAAAATGAATTACTATCATTTTTATAATAATAATGATTAATAATTATAATTCTACGTACATAATTTAGATTTGTTCTTATTTTTTATTTTTTATTTATAATAAATACCATTATAATATTGTAATATTTACTGATATTTTATACTAATTTGTCTTATCTATATGTTTTTTATTTTTTTATGAATTGTTAGTACTACAGTATTTAGTACAGAAATATTTAAAAATAATGGATTGTACCTTTTAAGAAATGTATTATGGTTTCAAGTTGACGATATCAAAAAAAAGTGGAAGAATATTAAAGATTACTATCGGAAAGAAAAAGCAGGGCTGCCCTCTGGAGCAGCAGCAAAAAAAAAGTACATTTACTTTGATTTACTTGGCTTTTTGGACAAGACATTAGAGCGAAGAAGGTAATGACATACTTGTATAATCTATAATTAATAAAGCTAATAAAATTAAATATAAATAATTCAATTTTAATTTGTTTATAGTACGGCTAGCAACATAGAGCACGATGAAAGTTTAAACGAGGACTCTATTACCATTGATGACCAAGAAGTGGCAAATCAACAAATGGATAAGCATAGTGAGATTTTTGTTGTACCCAATTCCCGTAAATCATCTAAAATTAATGAATTTCAACGAGGTATTATAGAAGTTTTATCTAAACGACAACACAATAGTCAGGCTAGTACTTGCGAGGACAGCGATGAAAATAAATTATTTTTGCTATCTTTTTTACCCATTTTAAATCGTTTGTCTGATCTTTAAAAATATGATTTTAAAATTCAGATGTTACAGGTTTTACAAAATATTCAATATCCAAAAACATAAAGCTATTCCTATCCCAATCCTCAGTCAAATACTTACCCTATAACTAATGTTCCAGTACGATATTTAAATAACCAATATCACAATCCATCTACAAATAACACGATATTAAATCATTACCAATACCCCATTATACCTCCTCATCAGCCAAATTTTGCTTCCACATCTAATAATTCCCAGTGCCCTTCAATACCCCCCGCTCAATCAAATTCTGCTTCCACATCTAATAATTCCCAGTGCCCTTCAATACCCTTGTTCGATCAAATTCTGATTCCAGTTTTAATAATGCCCAATATCAATTTATACTTGCTGTTCAACCAAATTCTGCGTCCAGTTCTGAGAATTCCCAGTATCATCCTCCTATTAAAACAAATTCTATCCACAGTTTTTATGGAGTTCATGATTCTTATTCATCCGACCTGAGCTCCCCTTAACATGTCCAATTTATTTATGTACTACAATAAAATAATGATTATTTTTTTATTGTTGAAAAGTTAAAAAGTCCTATACAAAAGCCTTGTATAGAAATTATTTTATTTTTATGTTTTTTATTTTATGATAATTATTATTCACAAAAGTTTTTAAAGTGAATTTAATATTTGTTTAGACTGTTGTTTGGTTAAACTGATTTGGTTAAATTTAATTAGGCTCTAATTTGTAAATGCGTCATAATTTAAATTTAACTGTATGATATATAATATTACTTTTATTAGTTTCATATATATATATATACATATATGAAACTAATTGTTATGTTATTATTAGTTATAATAATATAACATTTATATTGATTATTATTTTTTGTTAGTTTTATATATGTATAATTAATATACATTTATACAAATAATTTTTTGTGACATAAAGGATATAACTGGACTATGGTTTATATTGTTTGTAAATCATTTTTAATTTTTCAGGTAGCTAAGCATGATTTGGTTTCATAATAGGTAACAGAATTTAGTAATGAACAATTAAAATATTTAATCTCTTTTTTAAACTTGGTACGTACATAATCTTGATAAATATATTGCTTACCAGATTTGATATTAACAAAAAATATTTTTCTCACAATTCATAGGATTCAAGTAAGTTTAAACACATATTCAATTTTAATACATTTAGTAGTATACAGTGTTGAAAAAAATTGAAAATCTTACCTCAATGTAACTGTCAATCGTTCTTCTACGCTGATAGCTTGTCGAAATTTCGTATTTTTCTTTGAAATGCTTGATCGCATTGTACTAACTAATTCATCAAACGATTTTAATGACATTCGGTAATAGTTAAAAAAACGGTCAGGATACTGTCGTAAGTGACTGTATAAACAACTAAATTCACCCAAAGTTATTCTATTAGAATTTAGTGGATGAACCCAATGCACTCGTTGACGTTCTTCTGTATCGTCAAACGCTAATGAAATACACAATAATTCAGTGTCATCTAATTGGTTTAACACGTCCATATTGGATGGTAACTGAGTTCAGACTGAACGTTCGTTTATAACAAAAAACAATTTGTTTTGAAAAAATTTCGCCCCAAAAACGCGACTGAAAAAACGCAAGTGTATCCGAAAAACTTTTCGGCGGAAATTCGGCTGCGGAATCTCCGCTGCGGAAATTCCACAAGTGTGACGGGGGCCTAATTGTGATTTTTTTTTTTTAAATCATAGTTCAGATATTAAATTACACATTTGATAAAAGCCACATCAAATTATCTGACTTGTACATACTTAAAAATGCTTTTGAATAGAGCACTAACATGAACTTTAAATAGCAATAACTTTTGAACCCTATGATATTAAAAAGTGTTTTTAACATTTTTTTATTTTAAATATTAATTTCTAACAGAATATCTTAAAAAATATGGGGGTTCTGTAACGATCATATTTCACCTGACCGTTACAGTTCCAATTTAAATTTCAAAAGTTGATACCACGCATGCGCAAACTACTTAAGGTATGATTTTGGATTTATGTCTAAAATGTGCATAAAATAACACCTAACAACATCCAAAAGTCAAAATTTGAAAAAAATCAATAACGGCTCCAAAAATTGGAGTAAGTACAAATAATTCTAGTTCTTAAAATTATTATTATCACTATGCATAACTTACAAACTAAGAATTTTAGTTTTAAATTAATTAAAATGATTTTGACGTATTATAAATAATTTAATGGTCTACTCTATTGACTGACCATGGCTACTGCGTATTATTGAACAAATATTATGTACATTCTTCTCTTATTCGGGTGAAGTTTTCAAATTCATCCGATGGTTCTACTACTAAATTTGACAGAAGATTGTCCATACTTTGTCTAAAAGAAAAACAATATTATCTCAATATACATTCCTCAATATTAGATTCCTCATGGCTCAGAGTACCTACATGTGTAATAGTAAGTTCTTGTTCTAATTTGTTGTGGCCAATGTTGTTACTAGTTTTGTTAAATTTATAGCTAGTAGAAGAGAGTTAAACGTATTTCTTATGTGATCATGACCTACCTTATCAAACGCTTTTGACAAGTCAAGCATTACAATGCATATGTCATGCTGTTTCTCTATGACTAAACGAAGACATCCGTCTACAATAGATGCATTTATGTGAACACCAGATACTCCATTAACAAATCCTCTCTGTAATTGGCTGAAGTGGATCCTTTCTCTTATTTCCTGGTCAAGACACCGTTCAATTATGCGACGAATGACGCTAAAGGTAGTAATTGGTCTCCGGTTTTGTAAGTCAGTTTCTGTGCCTTTACCTTTTAAAATTAAAATGGTTCGCCCAGGTCTCAGCTTTGATGGAACATAGTCCTATGCCATCATTACCTTAGCAATGGCTAAAATTGCTGGTGCACATTTAACTTGTCGTAAGGTTCTGAGTACAACTCCGTCGGGCTCTATGTTTCTTTGAACCGTTATGTTTGATAACTGCTGATAGGCCACCCTCGCAGTCACAAAAACACACTTGCGGTATACCGTGTATCTGTTATCTAAAATAACTATCACAGAAAATAATTTAATATGTCAAAAATACTATATGCATTGATTTTAGAATATACAGATAAGCGGTGCTTGGGACAAAACCGGTGACCGACAATTGCTGGCTGCCGCTGGCAAACAGTGTGACCATTCAAGGTGATCAATTTACCGTATGACACTTTTCCGTGTCAAATTTTTTACAAATAAAGACTAAAACGCGAAGTCACTTTCTAAAGTGTCTATCGGACCGATTTCGAACGTTTTTTATTATTATTAAGTTTAACATGTTTTCTAGGGGGGCTAAAAAGTTGATTTTTTATTTTTGTTTTCAAAAAAATGTATAAGCATTTAAATTTTTACAATTGTATAGTTTTTTCTAATAAATCCAACTAATTTTCTAATTGCTAAATCAAATATCGGTCTTTTAACCCCTATAGAAAAAATAGTAAGCTTCATATAAAAAAAAGAAAAATTGCAATCCGTCCAAAAGATACGCTAAAAAAAGACTTCTGCGAAAGTCATTTTTTATCAAACTTTCAACATAACTCGTAAAAAAATAACTAGAAGTATTAAAACTAGAAAACCTTAATCATTTTTCATCTTATAATAAGTCGGCATATTGAAAATTGCTACTAGATAAATTTTTGTCAAATATTGCCTATCCATGCCCCTTTAATAAATAAGCGCCTTCCGTTCCCCTTAAAAATTGCTACTTTGTAGTTCGTTCGAGATTTCCCAATGTACAAAATTAAATGTGCAAACTCGATTTCATGTGATCTGACGGACGGGGTTTCTTGTGGTGTGATATTAATTTCGTATTCTGATAGCTATTTTGAGTGTCATTTTAATTTTGTGTATAATAAATTACATTTTATTTTAAAATACCGGGTAGTAACTAACTGCCAATATTTTAACTGTTTTAAATCGACAAAAAAATTTCCAAATTTATCAATGTTCCGAATTCCAAAAGATGAAAGACATGAAACATGGATAATTAATTCAAGTGAGAAATACATTTTTTCTTCGATATTTACAATGACTTATATTTAATAAGTGTTGTAATAATAATATACTCTATAGGAAATGTAAACTTATTGTCTCTCGATAAGGCGAAGCTCTATAACCGCTACATATGTCAGGAACATTTTTCTGCAGATTCATTTATGAATAGTACAGATAAAAAATTAAAATTAAAACCAACCGCGATTCCATAGTTTTTTCTTTATTTGATACGCCCCACCTTCTCAAAAGTGTGAGAAACAATTTATTGGGAAATACTTTAAAAAAAAAAAAAAAAAATTATATCGTTTAACGACGTTGTATTAACATGTAATATAGATAAAAATAATCAAAAAAGTAACGCTTTACTAAAAATAACCGATACTCATATTCACCCCAATTCGTTCCAAAAAATGAGTGTTAAATTGGCTGCTCAAGTTTTTAGCCACTCTATGGCATCGGCTATTCGAACGTGCATTTCTACTACTGAATTAAAAAGTAACGCGGCCTTTGACACAGCTGATTTTATCGAATTCATGAATAACCTGTTTGATTGCCTTAACAGTAGATGTTTAATCGACCGCCCGGATATCTATAGACGGGTTGGGTCGGATTATTAGCGTGGTTCAATTTTTAAAGGATTCTTAAGATAAAAAGGGATAAAGTGGACTGTATGTTATGGAGATAAAAGACGGTACTAAACAATAAATAGATATGTAGAAATTAAATGCAATAAAAGTGTATGTATTAACAAATGATAATATTAATGTAAAACTATTAAATAATGGGGACAGGGGGGAGAATACTTATAATCTAATGCCACCCGGCGCAACAATATAGAACAACAAATATATTATAATAGACGGTACTTATCGACCATTGATTATTTGCACGTGTTGACGTTGATTCGATGATGACAACACATATGAATCTTCCGACACACACACCACCGGTCGGCTGGGCGAGCTAATTATGCACCAGGGTGCATGCGAATCGCATGGGCGATTTTAACAAAACACGACTATGTGTAGTCCGGGCGAATCGCTAGGGCGATTAACTATAATGCGTACAAGGGCACGCGCGAATCGTTAGGACGATTAACAACACAAAATGAATTTTTGCTAATTAGCGACCATGAGGCGAAGGCTAATATGGCGGCGATGGAAATCGGCGCTCGCGTCGGGAACCAAAACGTTCGATGCGCACACCGGACAGAAGAACGAGCGAGAGTGTATCGAAAGGCGTTATATTAACGCTATCCCGTAAACCGGTGGTGGCGGCACAGACAGGGTGGCCAATTCACCACATACGTGTGTGTGTGTAAGCGGATCCAACAGTAGAAATTTATTTAGTGCAAATCCGTACACTTGTGCTTTAAATAATTCAGGTGTAGTTAAATTATTTTTATTGAAAGCAAAAGATTATTTTAAAGACCTACATAAAATCAATAGTAAAGGCAAAGTGACTCGCCCCCCCCCCTGTTTTAATGGCTTCACTCAAACAATTGGTGTCTTAAGTTTTTTTGATGACGAATTAAAAAACAATGATATAGTGTTTTTATTTACAAACAGACTAAATCAAGACGTACTCGAAAATCTTTTTTCAATTTTCCGTCAAAATGGGGGTTATAACAAAAATCCTACGGCTAGGACAATCCGAACTTCTTTTCGTAGTACTTGTGTTTTTTCATTAATAACATCAACAGGTACTAACTGTGAAAGAAGTAAGGAATTAGGTGAACCATTTTTAGTACAAGATGTGATTACGACTGACGAAACAGTAATTTCTGATGTTTCATCAGAAATGTCTTCAGACACAGTGTCTTCTTCTTCATCTCCTCCGCCTACATTTGTAACAGATGAATCTAACTCGGTAAAAACAAACGATTTTATTACGCTGGAAGATTGTTCCGTCACATATTTTTCTGGATACCTAGCGTATAAATGTATTCAAAAATTTAATCGACAAAAATCAAATATTATTAATTCACAAAAATTACTCGGGCATAGACAGAAATATAGGACTCATGGCACCATCAATTAAATTAAATAATATTATAGATCACGCTTTGACTATTTTCGAATCAACGTTTGAAAAACTTAAACACAAAAAGAAAATAAGATCTAAATTAACTAATATTTTAAAAAATGACCAATTAATATCTAGCTGGGTTAATGAAAATACAAATAAGTGCGCTGACCATTACGTTTTTATAATAGAAAAATTGTTAATTTGTAAAATTTTTAGACGTTCAAAACAATTTTCACTTACATCACATCAATCTAAATTAGCAAAATTAAAAATTGTAAATCACATTTAAAATAACCGTATAATTTATATTTTATAACCGTATTTTAAATAATCAAATAACCGTATAATTTATTATTACTTTTTTTTTTACATTATATAGTGAATTTTTGTTCGTGTATTTTAAATTT